AGCATGGCGCTGGTTGCGGAATGGCAGTGTCGGGTGGATGTAGCCAATCAGCGCACGGCAGATTGCGGAATGACAGTCGATGCGAGATCAACATTCGGACATATGACGTGGCACGTCGTGAGAGACCAGTGCCAAGGCGATTCTAGCATTCTCTTGTTTGTCGCTTATGATGCATGTATGATACGAGTATCGCGAAGCTGTTGACCAAGCGCCATAGTGAAAAAGGAATTGTCGATGAGCGGACGAGTGAGAGGATCATTGAGCAAGAGGCGCCCATCGTTGAAAATGCTCACCGGGACGAGCTCGACTAGGGCAAGTCACCAGCAACAAGTCAACGAGGTATATCAACAAGGTAGAGAAGCATGCACTCTTCACTATCGGCAGTGCAATCCGACGCCATAAGCTGACGATTGCGTGCAAGAGGAGGCAAAGGCACACTTGTTGATGCTTGCTATGCTGTGCGCACAGGGCAAGCATAAGCGAGGTGGTCGAGATGAGGAATAGGGAAACATGAGTTGATTGACGAGACTTGAAACTATACGCAAAAGATACGCAGAGCATATCGTCGTGTTAATAGGAAATGCATGTTTGCAATGGCTGCTTGCAGTAACAGCGCTTCGAGTAGCGTCGTTGTAGTCGCTTGGCCTAGCAACAGAAAGCCTTCAGGGACAGATGATTCGTCATCTGAATCCCTTTTCTCGACCCGAGAAAGAGGAATAGGCCATGTCGCCCGTAGTAACGTCAGATTTCGTTGTGGACTATCAACGATCAGCGACGGCTAGCAGCAAAAGACAGACGATCGATCGAATGGTCATCCAATGGCAGTAGATTAGTACAGACGGGTGATATCGACCCTATGCGGGTCTCGCAAGCAGCCCAAGGCGAAGCTGCATAAAGCTTCATAGTCGCTCGGCGTCACAGACACGTTGACAACACCAGCGCGATACGAGCCGTCGTGTAGCGCTGTAATCATCGCACGCACCGCCGGCAGTCCGATGTTGTTGTCGCTCATGTCCAAGCACCGCATGTGTGCTGTGAGGCGCAACACGTCGCTCAGCGCCATCGCTGCGTCTTCGCCGATGCGGTTGCGGCGTAGACGGAGCACAATCAGGTTTGGCAAGAGCGGCCAAAACGCTATCGCGCCGTCACTCGCAATCGCATTGTCCGTCAAGTCCACGTCGGTGAGCGACGGGCACAGCACCAGGCTGCGGGCAATGGCAAGAGCCCCAGTGTCCGAGATGCCTTGGTCGACAAGTGCAAGCCGATGCAAGCGATAGCACGTAGGAAGCACGGCAGTGATTTCAGCGACACCACTGTCACCAAGGTGACTCTTCTCGAGCCGCAGCTCGGTTAAGCGCGGCAGTACTGTCCACAGTGCATCTCGCGTCATCGTGACTAGCTCCAAGTGGATAAGATCCAGTCGGCGTAGCCGTCGCAGCGTTGGCAGACTCAGCACCAGTGGTAAATTGTCTGGGGGCAGGCTCGCGCGGCTGAGACGGACTCGAAGTGCCTCTAGATGGGGATGGTACGCTGCGGCACGGGTTGTCTCGTCGACTGTCGTCGGCCGATCGATGCGAAGGTCAAGCTCACAGAGGTGCGCGGGGAGCGGGGCGGCCACAAATGCCCGAGCCAGCGCGGCGTCCTCGAGCGCCAGTGACTGCAGCGTGCGACATGCTCGAATCGCGTGTACCACAGCATGCACTTGGCTTTTCATTGGAAAAGGGCCGCGCAACTTGAGACTCGAAACGGGGACATGGGTCAGCCACTTGGCAAAGACGCATCCGATATCCTCGCTCCACACATTTGTCGTGAGCGACAGCTGTGTAAGGCTGCGCGACGTAAAGAGCGCTTTCAGGACAAAACCAATCTCGAATGTGTAGTTGTGGCCTGCGCAGCAAAGGTGCAGCGAGCGCAAGCGGGGAAGCGTCGGCAGCACGAGTGCTAATTTCTCCACGTCCGAGCGCGCCCAGTCGCCTCGAAGAGCCGAAATTTGGATGCTCAGAAGCGAGAGGCGGGTGTCCCAGAGCGCAATGCGCGAAAAGACATGTCGTGCTTGGGCCAGGCGACACGGCAGCTCGATCGTGAGGTGCGGAGGTAGGTCCCAGCGCACGCGGCTGCTGCTGCGAGTGGTCAGCGACGCATACAAGCTGCTGGCCGCTTGGAGAGCGTCAATCAAGATCGGTTTGTTGATGGCAGGCGGATAGGGAAGGACGAGGGGCGGCCAGAGCGACAAATGCATCGACCGGTGGCGCGTCGCGCCAACCAACTCGCCATCAAAGAGCGCGCGGAAGAGGGTGCGAAGCGCAGCAAGCGGCGCCGAGAGCAGCGCAGGCGGCAGCACCAAGAGCAATGATGCAACGTCGGCCTCGTCGGCCATGTACATCACGATGAGCTGGACGAGGTCCGGCGACAGGTCTGCGGCCATGGCAGTCTGAGCAATCGAACTTCGAAGTTACGGTTTTATGCAT